GTTGTTGTTTTGGTGGGCCCAGGCTGGATTTGAACCCGCCACCTTAGGTGTATGTGGCTGGCATCTTAGCCACTTGAGCCACAGGCACCAAGCCTGTTTCTTGTAAGAATTATCTACAATAGTGCTGTCCCTAATGGAAACATAAGAGAAACATGTGTACTTTTAGATGCTCTAGTAGTTGCATTATAAAATGGTGACGTTAGAGGCCGGGAGTGGTGGCTCATGCCTGTAATCCTAGCACTCTGGGAGAACAAGGCGGGTGGACTGCTTGAGTTCAGAAGTTGGGATACCAGCCTGAGCAAAAGTAAGACCCCATCTCTACTAAAAATAGAAAAACTGAGGCAAGAGGACCACTTGAGCCTGAGTTGGAGGTTGCTGTGAGCTATGATGTCACTGTACCCAGAGTGACAGCTTGAGACTCTATCTCAAAAAAAAGTGAAGTTAGGCCAAGTGCAGTGGCTCACACCTATAATCCCAGTGCTTTGGTAGTCTGAGGTGGGAAGAATGCTTGAGGCTAGGATTTGAGACCAGCGTGGGCAATATCGGGAGACCTGTCTCAGGCTGCAGTGAGCTATGATCATGTTACTACACTTCAACCTGGATAACAAGGCAAGCCCATGTCTTTAAGAAAAAAACCGTGAAATTAATTTATTTTAACTCAGTCTATCTAAAATATCATTTCAACATGTAATAAAAATGGAAATATTTTACATTCTCTTTTATTCAAATCTTTGAAATCTAGTAGGTATTTTAGGATTACAGGCATAAGCCCCAAGCCTGGCTTATTTATTCTCTTTGTGAAACTTCAGCAGTCAGACATTAATTCTCACAAACCAATCCTCCAAATTTTATCTTTTTTTTTCCTTAAAACAATAATCTTGTCTTTTCCTTTCCAACTTTTTCACTTAATTTTTTATTCTAATGATTATGCTTCTGATTACTAAGAGCACACTGTTTTTCTTTTCTTTTCTTTTTTTTTGAGACAGAGTGTTACTTTGTGGCTATTTATTTTTTTGGTGGGAGGGGAAGAGAGTCTCACTTGGTTGCTGTCTGGAGAGTGCCGTAGCATCACAGTTCACAGTAACCTCAAATTCTTTTTTTGTTGCAGTTGTCATTGTAGTTTTAGCTAGCCTGGGCCGGTTTCGAACCACCAGCCTTGGTGTATGTGGCTGCTGCCCTACCCACTGAGCTATGAGCACAGGTCAACCTCAAACTCTTGGGCTCAAGCAATTCTCTTGCTTCAGCCTCCAAAGTAGCTGGGACTACAGGCACTGTCACAAGGCCTGGCTATTTTTTTTTTTTTTTTTGCAGTTTTGGCCAGGGCTGGGTTTGAACCTACCACCTCTGGCATATGGGGCCGGCACCTTACTCCTTTGAGCCACAGGCACGGCCCAGGCATGGCTATTTTTAGAGACCAGGTCTCACTCTGGCTCAGGCTGGTCTCGAACTCCTGAGCTCAGGCAATCCACCTGCCCTGGCCTCCCAGAGTGTTGGGATTACAGGCGTGGGCCACCTTGCCTGGCTGCTTTGTAGCTATTTAAATTAAAATTAAATGAAGCTAAAAATTTAATTTCTTTGTCACACTAGCCACATCTCAACCACATGTTGCTAGTGACTATCATATCAGGCAGTGTGAATTTATAATATTTCTATCGTCACAAAAATGCTATTAGATTCTTTTACTTTAGAGTGTTTCTTGGTTGTTAATACAAAAACGTTTGGCCACACGTGGTTGGCTCAGGCTTGTAATCCACACTCTGGGAGGCCGAGGCGGTGGATTGCCTGAGCTCACGAGTTTGAGGCCAGCCTGAGCAAGTGCTTCAAGACCCTGACTCTGGCTCAGTGCCTGTGGCTCAGTGGCTAGGGTGTCAGCCACATACACCTGGGCTGGCAAGTTTGAACCTGGCCCAGGCCTGCGAAACAATGACGACTACAACAACCACAATACAAAATATAGCCAGGCACTGTGGCAGGTGCCTATAGTCTCAGCAATTCTCTTCCTCAACCTCCCAAGGTTGAGGGAGGTTGAGGAAGAGAATTGCTTAATCCCAAGAGTTTGAGGTTGCTGTAAGCTGTGACACCACAGCTCTCTAATGAGGTCGACATACTGAGACTCTCTCAAAAAAGAAAAAAAAAAAGACCCCATCTCAAGAGGATCTTTTGAGCCTAAGAGTTTGAGGTTGCTGTGAGCTACGACACCATAGCACTCTACCAAGGGGGACAAAGTGAGACTCTGTGTCAAAAAAAAAAAAAAATCGTTTGACTTTCATTAGCTGGAAGATTTAGAAATTCCTTGGCTTCTTTTAAATTCTTGAATATACAATTCAATCAATAGTTTAAACATGATATTTACCATGAAACCTATCTGGATGCCTTGAAAACAAGTAACAGAGGCTTGGCACCTGCAACATGGTGGTTATGGTGCCAGCCACAT